TATAACGTGGGAGAAATAGGAGATCCTTTGATGAAGAGAAGATTCGTATTTGGTCTTTCAAATACATCATTTTGAGTTATTTATTCTTTTGGGTAAATGAGCAGAATTGTAAATTTGGGTGGAAATTTGTGGGTAGCCTGAAATTTTAGTTGGTCATTATTGGCTTTTAGTGTATTCTCTTGGGAGCACTCTATTTGGCCTGTAAAAGTGGTCGGTTCCGATGGAACCGAATGGGCGTGCCAGGAACTGCAGTAGTTCCGAAGAGAGATCCAAACAATATTCCAGATGGAAGATTGCGTGACCAGGCGACTGTGATAAGGTCTGGAATGAACACCTCAGGGTTCTTTTTACCTTTGAAAAAGGACTTCGGGATAGTTAACTGGCTAGGAAGAACTACGTTACTTATGAAAGTAAAGGAATTGACTGTAAAATTATCTATTGAAAAGTAAAGTGCAAGACTAAGACTAATCAAATTGAATGTGCATTGCAATGAAAATAAAGATTGTATTGAAATGCGTGTTTGGTTTGGCGTTGAGTAGGCTTTCTAAGTTACAATATCATGCCCTATTTATAGAATTTAGTAATGATAGCTTGCATGTAACTGCTTGCTTCCTAGGCTGCCATGTATCCCATGACTTTGCATGTAATTACTTGTAACCGCTTGCTTCCTTAGCTGCCATGTGTTCCAACACTTTCCACTAGAACATCGTAGTACCTTCCATTGGAATCGACCAGCTTCCTAGGCTGCTGTGTGTCCCATGACTTTGCATGTAACCACTTGTAACTGCTTGCTTCCTTGGCTGCCATGTGTCCCAAGATTTTCCACTGGAATGTTGTAGTACCTTTCCATTGGAATCAACCAGCTTCCTAGGTTGTCATGTGTCTCATGACTTTGCATATAACTGCTCACTTCCTAGGTTACCATGTATCCCATGACTTTGCATGTAACCACTTGTAACCGCTCACTTCCTAGGCTGTCATGTGTCCCATGACTTTGCATGTAACCGCTTGCTTCCTTGGTTGCCATGTGTCCCAAAACTTTCCACTACAACGTCGTAGTACCTTTTCATTGGAATTGACCAAGGCAATCTTCCACTGGAAAGTGGAAAAATAGGGTGTAAACACACTCCCCTCTTGGGCGCATTTATTGAAACTTTACTTGTCAAAAAAAAAATTTATTCCACTTGTCATGTGTCGTGTTCCAAGTAGTGTTGGTGTGTCATGTAAGGTGTTGGCATTCCTAGTTTATTCCCTTTCATTAATTTTCTCTTCTAGTAATTGGAGTCCGGAGATGCCTTCTATTGAAATAACTTTTGGTATAATGAAGCGTGAAGCAGAAAATGATGCTTTGAAATGTCTTTAATAAGAGTATAATTTTTGGTATATTCTACTGTCTTCCAGCTAATTTACTGAATTAATTGATTGAACGTTTATTTATTATTTATCTATATAGGTCTTGACTCTTGAGGAGGTTCATTAAAGTAAATTGGAAAATATGCATCCATGTCTGACCTCAGAAGGGGATGCCTTTTTGTTAATGAAGAAGGTTCTATCCATCTGAAATTGTATATGCAGCTGTATTACATACATTACACAATGTGATTTCTACTTTGGGGTATAGTTTTTGCTCTCATAGATGTCTCTCCCCTACCCTCTATATTCCCTCACTGTTCCTATTTTGTCAAGCACCTGTCGAAGAGGTTACGGGGATGTAATGTGTTTGTTATGTTCACACCTAAATTCGCTGAAATTATTAGGAGTGATATTATATGTAGTTTTGAAAAGAACAAAATTATAGAATGCAGGAACTTTGGTCTTTATTCTCATCTCTCTATATACTTTTGAGCCGTGGAATACAAATTCTGACCAAGGTTTTCAATGAAGTATGCGGTATATTGTTTAAAATAGCTAGTGAGATTTTAGTTGCGTCTTGATGTCGTTGATATTATTGATGAATGGTTTGTGTTCTTCAATATCTTGTCGAAGAAGATGGTTTTCATTGGAATCATAAGTTAAACAATATTTGATCTAATCCATTAGTGAAGAAACACTATTCAGTTTCTCTGTAAATTCTATTGTTGAAAAATAATCTTAGCAAGTGCTTAAACGGGCGTAAATGCTTGCAATTTCAAGCATATTGACCAATATTCTGAAAATAGTGAGGAATCTTTGCATTCTGAATCTTGATTGCTCTGTGTTTCTTGTGTCATTTTCTTACTTCTTTCTTTTAAAACTTGCACTAACTGGGAAAAGGACAATGGAGAGAGAGAAGAGAGAGAGAGCGTACAGACCCGTGAACACTGAAAGAGCCTCTCAGGTCTTAGCTATAAGCTCATAAATAATCCAAAACCCAACCACAAAAGAAAGAATATTATTAGCTAAGAACTATTTATAAATTATAATCATTGAATTATAACGTATTTCCTAGATTAATTAGGTATTATGCGCAAGTTCCAGATAGATGATTTGAAGTTGGCTGATTTCTCTTGATGGTTGGATTTTTATTTTATTGTTTTATTCTCCAAGAAATTCAAAAGCCCCCATGTGTTTTCATACTTTAAAAAGTACTGAAAAATTATCACTCGTTCTCTAAGCAAAAGAAATAATTGATCAAGCAAAGAGTAGACATTTTATCAATAACATTCATATTATAGATGAATTATTTTGTTTTATCATGACAATTTAAACAATATCACCGGCTTTCTTACCGTTCTTATGCATTTATTGTTATAATAATAGTGGAAAAAATATATATTTTTTCAAAAAAAATGAAATTTTCAATGGGCATGTGAAATGTTGAAGCAAGGTCAGGTAAATCGAGTGAAAAGAATATTCAAATTGCAGGACAATTCTAGTTGTATAAGATATGTTTTCGACGGTATACACAAACATGTATCCGACATTTGTTAGGGATATTAATTTCCTCCAATCTACTCAACGGTCGGTTGTTGTTGAGAGTTAAATCGTTCCTTCATCTTACACAATCAAAACATCATTATCACATCAACACACAAGCATATGTGGAAATAACATTCATACACATCCACGTACAACAACGTGGTTTAGTCAAATATAGGATTACGTCAATGGAGAGAAAGATTTCACTATTATATATCGAGGAATAGAATATACAACCAAATGTACCAACAGGCCTGTGGCTTAGCGGTACTAGGCCCCTAGTTCCGAAAGAGAAGTGAGGGTTTGAACATCAGTGGAGGCATGTGTGTGTGAGTACCAACTAAGAAAAAAAAATTACATATACAACCAAATGTCAAAATCCCACTCATTCACTAATCATATCTTTTAAGACTACATCTCTACACGCGGGAGTTACATATACGTATTCTCCTCTCTTCTCACAACACTCACCTTAGACCCTTTACGTATTTTTGCTCTCTCTCTACTTCTAACACTCATCTCTATTTATAAAGTCTTCAAACCCAATGCCTTATTGCACAAGAATTCCACAACATACCTACAAGGAATTACCATAACAATCACACCTCTAAAATAGCAGCTTAACAAAATCACCGTTCTAAGCTCAGTACCAAAGATGAATAAGTCCATTTAGGGTCACTCATCTTTGCAGAACAAGTTCATCTTCTGTACATGAATTCAAGAAACAAACCCAACAATCTCCACCTTAGCTTGAATTCAATCTTCACGCATTACCCCATAGCTCCACCTCGACTGACGATCTATCCACCTAGAACAAAACACTATGATGAAATTGAGAAACACTTTAATAATTTTCACATCCACTCCCAAGCTTATCCCCAAAACTTGTTCCTTATGAGCTTCACACCATCATCATACATTCATGTCATCTTTAATTCTGATTGAATCTCAACTGCAACTCACGATATACCTCACGCTTTGACAAACTTCACACCAATCTTCTGCTATAATCTTCAGGACCAACCACAAGCTCTAACACACCTAGATTTGATACTAGTTGTTAGGAATATTAACTCCCTCTTACCTACTCAATGATCGACTATTGTTTAGAGTTAAATTCCTCCTTTATCGTAAACAACAGAAGCTTCATTATCACATTACCACACAAGCATATATAGAGATAACAATCATATATACATCTACACACTACATGATATTTTACATGGTTCACCCAACTCTAGGGCTATGTCCATGGAGAGAGAGATTTCACTTTTATGTATAAGGAATATAATATACAACACATGTTAAAACCTACTTACTCACTATCATCTCTTTTGAAGCTACATCTCTAGATTCGAGAATTATATATACTTTTCCCTTCTCTCACAACACTCACCCTTAAACCCCTTTCATATTTTCCCTCTCTCTACCTCTTACACCCATCTCTATTTGTGGTCTTCAAACCTAATTCCTTGTTGGACAAGAATTCCACAATTTACCTACAAGGAGTTACCATAACTATCAAACCTCTAAAATAGCAGCTTGACAATAATTACCAAAGATGAACATGTTCCAAAAAAAAGTTGAATAGGTCAATTTTGTGTCACTCATCTTCGCAAAATATCCCAAATGAACAAGTCCATAATAACTTGAACATGTCCATCTTCTACACATAAATTTAAGCCATAACCCCAACAACATAGTGTTAAATTAATTAGGATGCGAAAATATAAGATGTAAAATAAGAAGATAGAAGATAGAAAGATAATAGCATATACATGGTTCGGCACTAAGGCCTACATCCATGGATCAAGAGCCACTGAGACTGCATTCTCTTATTGATTGTATTTCTTGATACGTTTACATTGTGCTTATACATAATATATAGGAAATTAAGTTGACAAAAGGAATAAATTAAGGAGAAAAAAAAGGAAACAGAATATAATATATATGTATAATATATTATATAAGGAAATAAAGGAGAAGGAAACAAAATATAATATATATATATATATATATATAATATATTTCAATATTCTCCCGCAAACTCAAGATGGGTTTCGCGAAGCCAACTTGAGTTTGGAGATGAAATTTTGAAAACAATGGTAGAGCGAAAAGCATCCAAAAGGCTGGAACAACGCCGGGGAAATGGCCGGAACAACATTTGGGAAATGGGTCAGAACAAAGCCGAGAAATGGGCCGGAGCAACTCTGGGAGGCATCCAAGGTAAGCCATTTGAGAAATGAAAAGGAGACCCGGAACAAAGCTGGTAAAAGGCCGGAACTAAGCCGGGGAATAGTCGGAACAAAGCTAGGAATAGTCAGAACAAAGCCGAGAAATGCCGAAACAAAGCCGGGGAAGTGGCTGAAACAACGTCGGGAAATAGTCGGAATAACGCTTCGGAGCGTTGACTATCATTGGTGAAGGAGGAGTGAGTGGGCGCGTGTATAGTGAGTGAGATCTACTCGCAGGAGTGTGCGTCGCGTGGACACGTGAAGTGCAAGTCAGGTCTACTTCACATGAGTGTCAGCACGTGACGGTGCAAACGATCTAGTATCGTTGCTCCGATACCATGTTAAATTTAGGATCCGAAAATATAAGATGTAAAATAGGAAAATGGAAGATAAAAAGATATACAACATATACATGGTTAGGCACTAAGACTTGCATCCATGGATCAAGAGGTACTGATGCTACATTCTCTTATTGATTGTATTTCTTGATACGTTTATATTGTATTGATACACAATATATAGGAAATAAAGTTGACAAAAGGAATAAATATAATATATATATACATATATATATATATATATATGTATATACATAATATTATATATAATATTAATAATATATATTATCTATATGTATATATATATTATACATATATATAACATCCTTAAGAGAAGTGTATGCCCTTCCTAAAGTCTATTTGAGAGGCGATAAAGGGCGATGAGGCGATTCTAGGGCGATCTAGGGTTTCCTAGGGGTGGGAAGATATGGTCTCCCCATCACAGGAGAGACACCCTATCTTACAAGCGATGTCACAGCCTAAATGGAGCGCTTTACTTATGAACTCAGAGACAACAGGTCTTACTATGTTGAAGTACTACATTGAGAATCGTAATGCAGAGTGTGTGGTTATTGAGGATGAAGACATTGCGGATGAATTGAGCTACTGGGCGAACTCGGTGGTGTGCTATGTTTTGGGAAGCAAACCATATTTCCCCCATTTCAAGGAAGCGCTGGAAAAAGGACGCGGTTGTGGTGTCCTTGAAGGATGGGTTCTTTCAGATCAGGCTTCCTTCGGAGGAAGATCTGATCTCGGTTATGTCTAGATTTCATACCTTCCAAGGAAGGGCAGTGATCGTGAAGAAGTGGCACAAGTGCTTCCAATTGGAGCGGGATATTCTTGAAACTGTGCCAATTTGGATGAAGGTGTATGATCTCCCAGTCCATGCTCGAAGTGGTACATCGATTTCGAAGATTATTTCTAACATTGCAAAACCTCTTTATATGGATGGGATTAATCTGAATAGGGAGAGGGGCATGTTTGTTCGGGTTCTTGCAGAGATGGAGGTTAAAGGAGGGTTTCCAGAATTTGTTCATACCAAATTACATGGCTGTCAGTGCAGAGCACAAATCGAGTATGAGTGGAAACCTCAATTGTGTAAATTATGTCAAAAAATAGATCACAATGAGAAGATGTGCCCTTTGAATATAGATTTGAAAGGCAAACAGAAAGTCTCAGAGCAATGGGTGGTGAAACGTAAGGTGGACTCTATAGCCATGGAGGAGGATGGAGGGTCATCGGAGATGGAAAAGTCGATTGATAAGGTGGAAGAGAGGGGAGAGGACGAAGGTTTTATCCAATCCAAATCCAAGACTCGCATGAAGATTATAGAAGGGATTCAATTAAACGTGGTATCTTATAATGCCTTTGAAGTGCTTGATGTTAGCACTGAGAGAGTTGCAAGGAAGAAGGTGGCTGACAGGATTCATGAAGGATTAGAGACAGAACCTTGCGACATGGGAAGTGCTGATACCAAGGTTGAAGAGTCACAAGGAAGTGAAGCTATTGGTATGTTGAAGGAGAAAATTGATGATGTGCAGCTGGGAATTGAAGCAGATTCCGGGACTGCTTCGAGCACGAGTTTCTCCAATGGCAGCGGGTCCCAAAAACAGAAGAAAAAGAATAAGAGAAGGAAGATGAACCTGATACTACCTTAATTAGGGTCACAAGAGGCATGATTACAGGTGGGGCTCCACCTCCTACCTGTTAATGATTGGTTTGTGGAACGTTAGAGGCCTCAAACGGAAGGAGATGCAAAAAGAAATTATTATTTGGTTGAGTAAATTCTCTATCAAACTTTGTTGTTTAGTCGAAACTAGAGTGTGTAGAAATAAATTTGCTAGGGTGAAGGATAGAATTAATTCGCACTGGTCCTGGGCAAATAATTATGATGCTTCTGAAGGTGGGAGAATTTGGTGTGGCTGGAACACTTTAAGTCTTGACGTTAGTGTTGAAAAGGTCTGTGCTCAGATGATGTTGTTGAAGGTCTCTGTCATAGGCACTCCTTGCTCTTTCTATGTTGCTTTTGTTTATGCAGAGAACACTAATGGAGAAAGGAAACAGCTTTGGAAGGATCTCAGGCAGAGCTCTCAAGTTATAAGTGGTCCATGGCTGCTATTGGGGGATTGGAATGTTATTCGGTACAATATTGAAAAGAAAGGGGGTCGGTATCTCTCTCCTAGAACCCTGTATGATTTCAATCACACAATTGATGATCTGTGCCTTGTTGAAATTCCGGATATTAATGGAGTGTTTACTTTGGTGCAATAAAAGATTCAACCAAAGAAGAATTTATGGCAAGCTTGACCGGGGCTTAATGAATGAGGAATGGAATCAGGAGTTTCCTAACTCACATATTTTACTCTCTCCTCTTTTGGTTTCTGACCATTGGGGTATGTGTGTCAAAGTCCCAATAGCGATTGCTAATGGGCCAAAACCTTTTAGATTCCTTATGCTATGGAATAAACAACCAGTGGTTGTGGACATTGTGGCTGAAGCGTGGAAGTTTAAGGCTGTAGGAGACCCTATCCTTAAATTAGTGCAGAAGCTTAGATCAACCAAGTTGGCCGTGAAACAATGGAATAATGAGAAGTTTGGGTCTGCGTATGAAAAAGTTATTGTATGCAGGAAGGCTCTTGAACATTCTCAAGAGTTGTTGGCAGGGATCCTCTGAATAATAGCTTAATCCAGAAAGAAGTTGAGAGTAGAAGGAATTTTGATGATGCTGTTTCAAATGAGGCCATTATGTTAGCTCAGAAGTCCAGAATTAGGTGGGTCAGAGATCAAGATAGATGCTCCAAATTCTTTTATCAAAAAATCAGGGATCATAGGGTGGGAAACAACATCATAGCTATTCAAGATGCAGTGATCTTCTTAATGATCCTAGTTTGATTCAGAAGAAGTTTGTTGAACATTTTCAGAAGCTTTATGCCAACAATAGGCAAGAATCTACTTTGCCAAAAGCTGAATTCATTCGGAAAACCCTTGGGGAGGAGGATGTAAATATGCTTGAGGCCAATATTTCTAAAGAGGAGATCAAATTCACTGTGTTTTCCATGGGGCCAGATGAAGTTCCTGCCGAGATTGGTTCACAGCAAGGTTCTTTCAGCAGTATTGGAGTATTATTGAGGATGACTTCTCTGAAACAGTTCTTCATTTCTTCTAGTGATGGACAAGGGGATAAACAGCTCTTTCATTACCCTCATTCAGAAAAAGAAGGAAGCTCTAAGGTTGATGATTTTAGACCTATTTCTCTCTGCAATGTGCTTTATAAAGTGATCTCTAAAGTACTAGCTAGCAGATTAGCTAGGGTCTTGGGGAACATTGTAGGCAAAGAACAAAATGCTTTCATCAACGATAGAAGAATACAAGACAACATCATTTTTGCCCATGGGTTGTTAAGGGGCTTTGGAGCCGCTCATGCTAAACCAACTTTGGCTTGGAAAGTGGACCTTAGGAAAGCATACGATTCGATGCAATGACCGTTCTTGTTCAAATTGCTTAACCTTTATGGGTTTGGGGCTAAATGGGTTAGGTGGGTGGAAGAATGCATTACGTCAGGTCCTTTAATGTGGTGTGTTATCATTAATTTATAAAATAACCATTCGCAATAGAACGAATCCTTGTAGGATAGCACTATAGAGAGGGTGTCGAACCCACAGGGAGATGAGTATTTATGTTTTGCTTTTAATTAATTCCTATTGGTTTACAGGTAACAGGTTGAATTTTTTGATTGGTTGTCACGGTTGCAAATTAAAATTAAACTAAAGTGATCAGAGAGAGAAAGGTCTTAGGGCTTTGACTTCACCACAATCGTCGTACTATGGTTAACTGTTTCAACTCTGGGGATTTAAAAAATTATATTTTAAATGAATTGAACTCAATAATATTCATTCAATTCGGGTTTTTAAAGAAAGATGTTTCATAAAATTCAGTTAACTTTAACCTATATGTGGTTAGCATGGACTATCCACCTACCTACTTTAACTACGTTAACTACTTTATAAATAATCCATCTATCCTAAGCATAGACTATGAAAACATTCTTTTATAAAAGACGTTGGAACACCATTACATGACCTCTATTCTTATGTCTGGTAGGGCTCTGCCAGATACCGTCCAATAAGATTAGGTTGAGAATAGAGAACAAACAGTTATATCTAAGACAAGGTAATAACAATTGTAATCTATTTAAAGCATTAAATTTAATTGAGTTGTCTCAATTACTCATAGTCATATAATCAAAACATAATATACATTAAAATATCCCAGAGTTAAGAACAATTAAACCATAGTACTAGATTGGGTTACATTAGTGCCCAAAGAGAGGAATTAGTTGCTCATGACGATACCGAATATCCTCTGTATTGTAGTCGTCTTCATCATCATGGACGGCTCTTCTCTTATCAGGATCTTCACCTTTTAAGGTTATGGAAACCCTAAAAGCCACCACCACAGTATCAGCCTTCTAAATAATACGAGAAAAATGGATCTCTTCTATCAAGGCCTATGCCTTCTTTTATAGAAGAAAATAAAGGCTTGGTGGGCTTTTAGGTCTTCTGGCCCATCTGGAATGGGATACGACTTGTGAAGAGAATAATCCCGTAACTTAAATCTGATATATCATGGAAGGCTCGAGCTTTAGGAAGCAGAGCTTGAGCTTTGAGGTTCAGGCTCGGGCTTTGGGAACAAGGCTTGAGCTTCATTGAGTTGTTGCTCGAGCTTCAAGAATTGATGCTCGATCTTTATTTTGACACTTAGTCAAATTTGTTCAACTACTTTCCGAAGCGTCTTTTCCTTTAACACTTTGAATATTTTTAGGTTTCATCTCTTTTAACATTGCTCGATCCAAGCATCATGGGCTCGAGCACTAGGTACCAGGCTCGAGCTTTAGGTACTCAAGGCTCGAGCTTTGGGTAATGGTGCTCGATCCTTGAGGTCTGGCACGAGGCCCTGGGAGCTTGGTTCTTCCATAGAAATCAACTCTTCAAATTCCGACGCCTTGTGCTTGAGCTTGAGGGTCAATGCTTAAGCACCCTGTGGTTAGGCTCGAGCACCCTCGAGGTAAGTCTCTAACTCTGGAAGTACAAGACTCGAGCTTCGATGCCTTGTTGATTTTTCTTCTATTTCTTATAAGGCTCGAGCTTTGGATCTTGAATTCTTTCAAACTTCACCATTTAAGCTATCGGCTTGCTCTGAATGACCGACAAAGACTCTGTAACCTTTAATATCAGTCTTTTCATCATAAAATCCTAGTTTTAACCGTTTCTCTCAGAAAGTACCTATAAACACACATTAAACATAAATCAGTCTAACAATGGATAGAAGTATCACTTTAGGCCTTAACATACGTATATTTAGGGGATCGAATATGCAATATTCAACGCTCATCATCCTCCATTATTGTGAATGGTAGTCCGTATGGATTCTTTCAACCTAGAAAGGGTTTGAGGCAAGGTTGTTCACTTTCTCCCTAATTGTTTACCCTGGTCACTGACTATTTTTCTGGTTTAATAGTAGTGGAGGTGAGTAAGGGTAATGTTTCTGAATCCGTGGCAGCTAATAAAGTAGGGTTGAAGATCACGCATCAATTCTTTGCGAACGATTGATGGTGGTGTGTGCTAATATGGCTACGGTACTAGCTCTCAAGAGGATTATGAAGCACTTTGAGGATACTTCTGGTCTTGTTGTTAACAAAGACAAATAAAAAATTTTTATGACTAATTCAGTGAGACAAAAACATTCTATTGTTAAGGCTCTAGGTTGTAAGGTAGGTCAGCTACTTTTTATATATTTGGGTTTGCCAATCTCTGACAAGATGTTGAGGAGTAGAGATTGTGTAAAGCTGCTGGACAAGGTGAATGCTACCACAAGTAGATGGAATGGGCTTAATTTGGCCATGGCAGGCAGGATTAAGTTGTGTAGGGCTGTCATCATGCCTCTCATTCTCTACTGGGCCTCCGTTTATACTCTTCCTGCTACTATCTCTATTCTTATTGAGAGGAGGATGAGGAATTTTATTTGGGGCCATAATGACAACAGTGTGAAACTTCATGGGTTGAGTTAAAAGAAGCTCGCTGCTCCCAAAGAGGAATGAGGTTTGGGGTTGAGGAGAGTGGCAGAGGTGGACAAGGCATCTAAATGTGTGTTAGCTTGGGATTTTATTTTATCCAAAGATAGGCTTTGGGTTGCTTGGTTTAGGAAGTGCTACCTACAGAAAGTGTCTTACTAGATGGTGAGTCCGAGAGTCACATACTCTTCTATTTGGAAAAGTATAGTTGCTGTTAGGGACATTATTAAAACTAACTGTAAGTACAAGATTGGTAATGGCAGGGACATTAAGATATTCACGGATCCATGGTGCAATGGAAGATTCTTGGGTGATATATTTAGTTACAAGATATTACATCACATTTGCAGGAATAAACAGGTGCCTCTTAGTATTTTTATTATTGATTAGAGGTGGAATACTATGAAATTTGATAGTTTCACACAGGAAGTTCTTCATTATTTCCAACATCACACTATCCATGGGGGATCAAATGGGATTGAATGACACCATACTCAGTTTACTTTTAAGTTGGTGTGGAATGAGTGCAGGATCAAGCGACATAAAGTAAGTTGGTACAATCTTTGTTAGAATGGGGGTCGCCCAAAG